TGGACGACAAAGTGGATTCTCACCACTTTCCCAGGAGGGAATCTTAGAACTTCAAGCCAGGTGGTACAAAGCACATCTTAAACAAGATCATACTGTCTACCTCAAACCAGTAAATATTTTTCATTTTCTGATTTCATGTCATTGTAATTGCTCAGGTGGGCCAGGACAGCTCTGGCTTGAGAAAGAGCTGAAGAGCTGTCTCGGGCACCTCTGTCATTGGGGCTTTGCTTTTGCCTTTGTGGGACTCGTGGAGGGAAGCCTTTGTGGCCTATTGTGAGGTGTTCTTTGAGTCTGTAAATCACAGACTGCTGGATGGAGGGACTTCCAAAGACTGTCTAGAGCTGCCTTTTAGCAGGACACACACACACTCCATGGCTTTTGCGTATTCCTAGAGCCCACTGGGGGAAGAGGTGTAATTTCCACCTCTCAGGTATTAGTTCTCACGTCTCTTGATCTTAGTCCTGTTCTTGAGGGGCCCCATGTTTCCCTCGCCCTGCCCCAGGCTGCCCGGCCCTGTCGCCACCTGGCTCCCTGGTCCGTGCTGCTGGAAGCACAGCCACCTGTGCTGGGTTGACTTCTGCGTCCTGCCCTTGGCAGTCACTTCTCTGTCTGGGCCTCACATAGCTCTTGTAAAATGTGGCTTTGAGAGAAGATCATGTGTCTGGCACTAAAATCCCATTTGACTCTTGAGATTCTGGCTCTGAGCTCCTGCTGCACTGTTTCTCCTGTGGGTGGGACTTCTCTCTCTCTCCCCGCCAGCTGTCACGCCCTCTCCTCTCTGCCAAGATCCAGTTCCATCCTGTCCACCCCATGGCCCAGCACCCAAATGCTCCCTGTGACTTAGGAGTAACACAAGCATTTCATTACGTTCTTCATTTTATTTATCTTTTTGCTTGAATGCAGTTTCACTTTTCGAAATGCACAGGCGGGACCTGTCCTTGCGTCTTCACCAGCAGCCGGGGAACCGCCACCCTTGGTGTTGCTGGTGGAAATGATTTATGCTCTGTGGTTTGAAACTAGTTTGGTAAGTCCTTTATTAGGGAGCCCCCGAAGGGTTGCCCTGGCCAAGGAACCACGAATCTTCACCCTCAGACACAACAGCTGGGATTAGGAGCACACAGCTGGGAACTTCCTTAGAGAGGTTGTCACATGTGGTTCTGCCAAACAAGACCAGGTTATTGAGCTGGCCCCGAACTTTGCCTTTGGACCACTGCTGCTTTTTGGCCTTGTCCCTAGAGTTCACTGGGTCTTTATCCTTCTTGGCCAACTTTTCAACACTTTTCACCAACACTTATCACCCTTGGGTGGCTTCACAAAGTTCAGAGAGTGGCACCTACCATGGGAGCCATGCTAAGATGTCCTGTTCTTTATTTTAACAACCTTTAATTTTTGTATTATAAACATTTCTAGACAGTCATAGAATATTCAGAAGATGCAGGTCGATAAGAAGAAAAAAAATAACAATCACAAAACTTCTCACTGTCTGACATAACCACTATCAGCATTTTCCTCCAGTCTTTTTTCTTTAAAACACTCAGACGTAGACCAGTCCGTTCCATATTTCATAATTTCACACCCTGCTTTTCTACTTGATATTATATAATGAGCATTTTGTGTATCATGAAACACGTGGAAATAATTTTTAATCTGATACTTTGCGTGTTGTCTTTATTTAGCCCTGGTGTGATTATTTCTAAATGGGGATGATCCCCATCCTGCCAAGGATCCCAATAAAATGAGACGGGCTGTGCAAGAGCTGCCTGCATGTCAGCACCGATGAGGGAGATGTGAGTCTCACCTCCTCAAGAGAACTGCTTTACTTTATTGTCACAAAATTATTATAGTCCTAGTCTCCGAGTGGTGGGTAAAACCTACTCTGTGGGTTTAATTTTTAAAGGAAACACATGTTAATAGCTTAGTTTTTTTCTTAGGGATGTCTTAGAGAGTCTGGCCTAAGGAAATTCCTCAGCCTGAGGAGCAAGGGCTGTGCACACAGTGTGGTGGCATCATTTATGACAGCTCAAAGCGAGGTTGCTGGCGTTGCTTGTTTGGAAGGAAGGCTCAGTTAGTGATGCCAGATCCACGTGCTTTGCTGTTATGCAGCTGTCAAAAGTGATGCTTACAAAGCCTTTGTCATCAAATGGGAAACGTTTATGTTACCATCACTGGGAAAAGCAAAGATGAATATGGAAAGAGTGGAGAGAAATCCATCAAATGGGAATATTTGATGGTTGTAATAGTCAAATGATGGGTGATTGTTTTCTTTCTGCTTCTCTACAATGAGCATGTTTACCTTGGATACATGAAAAGGTAGGTAGGTAGGTGAGTGAGTGGGTAGGTAAGTAGCTGGGTCAACCTTATTTTTAGGACTATTGGAAGAATATATGCCTAAGAGGGAAGTAGGGTACAGGACTGAGATCACATATGAGAGGAATGACCCAGATGTGGGGGATAAGGGCACAGAGGATAGAAATTCAGATTACCAGGACTTCTGGAAAATGCTCAGAACAACCAAAACGGACTTCTTTCTTTTGAGATCAGGAAGAACAGAGGGTTCTTCCTTACCCTGAACATGGTAATATAATTATTCAAGCATTTGTACATGGTAATATAATTATCAAAGGAGAAACTAAAATTGCTAGTTCCTCATTTTCTCCATCTTCTGACCTGAGTGGGTGGGACAGGCTTGGGGAGGGGATATGAAAACCCAGGGGGCCCTTTAGGAGCTGTGAGGAGCCTGCTAGAGTTTATAGATGTGGAGGAATATATGGAGGGTGAGTGAAGTAGGTGCACAGATGGAGGAGTGAAAATGTAACCCCAAAATTATATAGACATGTAAATGACTGACAAATTAATTTTTTTAAAGTGGAGGAAACAGAAGCTGTAATATATAAATTTGCATGAAAATGACATCAACCTCCAGAAAGTTCCTTAATGGTTGCTTTTTTTTTTTTTAATTTCAGACCTGTAGAAAAGTTGCAAAAATTTGGGGCCTCCCCGGTGGCACAGCAGTTGAGTGCTGGGTTGCGAAGCTGCCCGCAGCCTCTGCAGCGCAGGTTCGATCCCCGGCTGCTCCCCGGCCACCGGAGGAGGGTCCCACATGGCGCGCAGACCTCTCCTGCCGCCCGCTGCTCCCCTCAGCAGTGTGCTTCGGTCCTTCTGCCTGCTGTGCTCTGGTGAATTCTCTTACCCTCCCACGATTCTGACTGTACCCAGTGCTTGTATGTATAAATCAATCAATCAATCAATCAATCAATCAATCTTTAAAAAAAAAGTTGCAAAAATCTAACAAACATTTCACATTTATCCTTCACCCAAATTCCTCAAATATTAACATTTTACCCTATTTGCACACTCTCCCTCCTCTCTCTTGCTACACACACACATTATCGTTTTCTCAACATTTGAGAACAAGTTGCCAACATATTGCCCCTAAATACTTCATTGTGTATTTCCAAAAAGTTAGTTTCCTACATTAACACTGGAAACATTAAAATCAGAAAATTAACACCAATACGATACTACCTGAGCCTCAAAACCCATGCAGATGTTATCTGTTGTTTTGATAATTGTCTTTTATAGCATCGGCGATAATAACAACAAGAACAGTAATAGTTGCTGTTAGGTTTCTACTTCAGGATCACAGTCAAGGTCACACATTTCATTTAGTCCCTGTCTTTTAGTCTCTGCTGTCTGTCCGGAACGGTCCTCAATCTTCCTTTTCTTTCATATTTGGTATTTTTTAAGAGTAAACACCATTTGTGTTTAGATTGCCCCCCCCCCCCGATTTCTGTCCTTTCCTCATGATTCAGGCCGGGGTTGTCTTTTGGACAAGAACACCGCTGACATGTGTCTTTCTCTGTGTGTCATGTCAGCTGACATGTCGTCTGTTCTCCGAATAGGTTTTTTAAAAATATACAAAAATAGCAGCTTTGTTGAGATATAATTCACGTACTATAAAGTTTACCTTTTTCCTGGTGGTTTTGCGATATTCACAGGGTTGTACAATTATCTTCACCATCAATTTTAGAACATTTTCATCACCCCTAAAAGGCCCGGTGCCTGTTAGCAGACATCCCCCACCCCCTCCTCTCCAGCCCCCAGTGACCAACACTTCCTGCCTGTTCCGGGTATTTCTTACTCCAGGGCTCACATGCTGTGGACCCTGTTAATGTCTGGCTGCTTTTAGTAAGCACAATGCTATCATGGCCATGCCTGTTGTAGCATCAGTGCGGTGTTCCTTTTTGTGGCTGAATAATAATCCATTGTATATATTTACCACAGTTGGCTGAGTCATTCATCAGTCAATAGGCATTTGGGAGGTTTCCGCTTTGGGGCCATTACAAATAGTGTTGCTAAGCTGGTCCAGCCACTACAGAAAGCTGTGTGGAGGTTCCTTAAATTAATAAAAATGGAGCTACCATATGACCCAGCAATTCCGCTCCTAGAAATCTACCCAAAGCACACGAAAACATTAATTCGAAAGGAAACCTGCATTCCTATGCTTATTGCAGCTCTATTTATAACTGCTAAGATATGGAAACAACCTAAATGCCTCAAAACAGATGATTGGATCAAGAAGATATGGTATGCATACACAATGGAATACTATTCAACAATCAAAGATAAATGCATGTAATTTATAGCAACATGGATGGTGCTGGAAGGGATTATGCTCAGTGAAATAAATCAGATGGAAAAAGAAAAATATCAGATGCTTTCACTTATAGGAGGAATATAGGGGAGCCAAATAAGGGATCAAGGAGGAAAAAAAGACAAGACTATAAATCAGAGACATTCAGCAGGGGAGGGGGAGGGAGGGGAATTAAAACAGGGGAGAGAAGAGCACAAGGGACTGTGGTGATGGTTCTTGGGTGACTCGATGGTGGGAATTTTATGGAGACTACACCTGAGAGGAGAAAGCAAGCCGTACAAAAATGAATAGTGATGTAAAATATATATATAGAAATAAATAAAAAACAGCAACAAATAGTGCTGCTGTATTTACCTGGCAGGAGACACCATGATTACAGAGGTGCTTTTCCCAGGGCAGGGGTCCCCCAGTGCACTTGGGGTGTTCTGACCCCTGCCATTTCCCCAGATGTGGGTAACTCAGCTGCATCATTTGTGGTAGTGGGGGTCCTTGTTATACACTCTCCCCTATAAAAAAGAAAAACAGTGCTGCTATTCACATTCACGTACAGCTATTGCAGACTTGTGTTTGTATTTTTCTAGGGTATATGTCTCAAGTCCCTAAGGCCACGCCCTTGTCAGGGATTCACTGGGAGGGCTCCTAGACTCAGCCGGTAGTCCTACTCCTGGCTGTAATTGCTGCAGTGAAAGGACCCTAAGCAAAGTCAGCAAAGGGAAGTGCATAGAGAAATGCAGGGGGACCCAGCCCTGCTTCAAGCATCCTCCCCAGCAGACCTCACAGGACACGCTTCCTTCCTCCAGCTCTGAGCTGTGACCTCAGGCAAGGGGTGCTGTCTATCTGGGAAGCTGACACTCAGTGTTTGAGGTTTTTGTTGGGGGCTGGCCATGTAGGCACACCCTGCCTAAAACACATCGAAATGCCAGACTCCCGGAAGGAAGCAGGTGCTCAGCACAAGCACCGTGTACAGTCTGGGTACACCTCACCCACCTTGCCAGCTAGAGAATGGTGAGAACACCCACCAATTCCAAGTTCCCAGACACCTGCCAAGGATGGAAGTCTCTGGCTTGCTGTGTTAACTTTCTGCACACCTAGGAGTGAGATTGCTGGGTGACACGGTGCCTCCAGAGTGAACTTTATGTGCCAAACTGTTTTGCAAAGTAACTGCATTATTTTCATTCCCACCAGCAGTTTACAAGGGCGCCAGTTTCTCTCCATCCTGGCTAACACTTGCTATTGTCCATCCTGTTTAATTGTAACCATCCTCGTGAGACTAATAGGGTTTTAAGCTAGTGATTTGCAAGCATTTAGAACAAAGAATGATGATTTGTAAGAGCCAAAATGAGTTTTCAAGAGCAAACCATGCCAATCTAACCTGTGATTTTTTCCTAAAAAAAAAAAAAAAAAAGGCACCAGAAAACAATCTATTCTTTCTGTGCGAGCTGTCCCAGGGCAGAGTGTTTTCGCATTTCAGCCCTATCTCTCACAACATCTCCATACAGAGATGGAGACACGGGAGTTGTGCCGACTGCTCAGTGGTCCTCACTTGCTCACAGATGACATGCTGAGAGCATGATTTGGACTGATTATGGGAGAACGTGATTATGGGTGAAACTCTGCCACTCAGTGGATCGCCTGGAAAGGTGGTGAGCACCCCGACACTGGGGGTCTCCAAAGGGGTCACTGAATCCTTTATTAAGGAACTGAATGGAGGAAGAGGCAGCTACTTTGAGGTCCTAAAAGTGGCTGAGTATGAAGTCAGGGACAGCCCATCTCTAAAGCTGAGGGCAGGAGTTGCCCAAGACGGGTATCTCCAGTTCTAGACTGAGATTAGTTTCTCTATGGGTTGTCCTCGTCTCCTGCCCTTCACAGCCTTACCTGGGGTCCCATCAGGACGCGTGGGTATCCGTGAAGCTTCCTTGGAGACACACACTTGTCCTCTTCTGAGTGCTGCTGTGGTGCACAAGCCTCTCCCCTCTGACCATTGCCTGTCTTACCTGTGTGTGGTCCTTGACTCCCTGCATAGGCTAAGCTCCCGTTTTCTTGGTTCTCCTTACAGTTCATTCAGCATCCTTCCCTTCTCCCTCCAGCCCCTGCAGGAGTTGCTGGGCAGCAGTGAATGGGGGTGGGAGGACCCTACGCTACACTTCCAAGTATTAAAGCTTAATTTCAGGCTGCAGGGACTTTGCATCAAGAGTGGAGGTCCGCCTTGGGCGTGCCTGGGGGGAGGTCCTGAAGATATGTCCTTTCAGCTGGGAAGTCAAGGAAGACAAGCAGTTGGCAGGGAAGTAGGAGGGGAGCCTGCGAGCATTCCCACCAAGGCTGCAGCCCAGCTGTGGCCAAGCACAGGCCCAGACACCAGATAGGTGCGCACTTCAGTGTGTTGGAGAAATGAGGACCGTCTGCCTCGGGGCCTTGCCTGTCTCTGCTCACCCAGCACATGGGCTAAGCTGCTCAGGACCTGGGTCGGGGGGAGGCACGTGTGCATTTGCGGGTCTGTGTGTGCTTGTGCCTGTGTGTGTGTGTGTGTGTGTGTGTGTGTGTGTGTGTGTGACTAAGAGCAGCTCTGATTGCCTCCTGAATCCGGTCCCAGTGACACGGGGATTATTTGTGCCTTCATTCCCCTCCGTTGACGTGGATGACTGTGAGAATGGGCCACGCTCCAAACATCTCCACGTCCCTGCAGTGACAGCTCCTTTGAGAACATGTAGATACCTATGATTCTCTTAATTACTCCGTACGCCCACTTCCCTCTCTCTCTCTCTCTCTCTCTCTCTCTCTCAAGCAGGAGGGGTTTGGAGGGTAGGGAGCAGCCTCCCCCCACCCCCGACCTCTGCTCCTTCTTTCCTTCTGTCATTTATATTTTAACAGCCTCCTGCTGCTCCCCCACCCAACCACCTCCCTGCTGCTCCACTCACACTGGCTTCATCGAGGGGGCCCCCCAGATAAGAGAGATTGAGGGAGGAGGCCAGTTTCCCTGAAGTGCTCGTACCCCATAATTAGTTTCCGTTATTGCCAATTCAAGATAAGTAGAAAATAACAGAGGAACGGAACCAGGACGCAACGCCCGTGCCGGGAGCTTGGCACGCGTTCCCGCGACACTTGTGTGTGTGTGTCACATGGGAAGCCACGTCCTGGGCTCAGCGCGGGGTGGGCCCTGTGGCCTGGGAGTTGAGCGAGCCAGATCTCAGCCCTGTTGCTTAGCCACCCTGGCCACTTCCTGTCTCTCTGAGCCTCACTTTCACCATCTGCAGAATGGAGAGATGGTACTAGCAATAGATTATTCTGCCATTTTGCAGAGCGTCCCAGCCATGGGCAGGGAGGGCCTGCCTGGTCTGTGCATTGGGCTGCACCAGCAGGCAGTGGTATCGTCCAGCCATGCCTGCAGAGAGGCATCAGTCCTTGGCATGGAGAAGGCAGGTGGGGTACAGAAAGAGGGGAGCCAAGGCAGGAAGGCAGGCCAGGAGATGGGAGGAGAAAAGCAAAAGGATGCCAGACAGTGTCTGGAAGTGAGCTGACCTCATGGACTACATCAGTTGGCCCCCAGATGTGGCCGTGGGCGCACCACGTGGACTTGTTAGAGAAGCAGATTCTCGGGCCTCACTGCAGACCTGCTGAGCCCAGGAGATTCTGATGCATTTGGATAGTGGGATGGATGGAGGAGGGGAGGGCGGGCGGACGAGGCTTGGAAAACTAGACGGGCACGTAGAAGGCTGAGGAGGGAAGAGAACTAGTGTTTATTGATTACTTGCGGTGTCAGTTGGAAGTGACATTTCCAGCTACTTTTCTTTCGTTTAAACCTTTCAGGAGTGTGGCAAAGCAGACCTGCTTATTCCCATTTCAAAGATGAGGCAACTGAGGCCCAGTCTTTTAAACCGCCTGCCAACACCAGTGGCAAAAGTAGAATTAGAACCCAGGCCTCTCTGGCCCTGGGGTCTAAATTCCTTCGGCCACACAGGCTGCCTCCCACCCACATGACCCTCAGCGATGCCTCCAAGGCCTGGAGTGGGCTCGTTCCACTGCTCCCTGGCTGCCCCAGAGTGTCTGACCCACTCTCCTCCTGCAGAGAGCCATGAGAAGACAGGAAGGAATCACTGTACAGCCCAACAAGGGAGACCTGGGGGAGGAGACTAGGGCTGGCACCTCGCTCTCTTCTAGCTCCCAGGGCCAAGGGCAGCCAGGGACAAGCACATGATGCTCCCGAGGGGAGCTGCCCTAATGTAGTGAGAAATCAAGCCCTGGGTGACAAAGTCGACTAATACTCATTGCTGCCTGTACTGCTTTGCCTGTGCCGGTGCTCTAGGGGAAACTGAGTCAAGAGAGTGCAGTTTCTGACTTCCAGGAGTTTATGGATCTGAGCCAGGGAAACAGAAAAGTGCAGTGATGGACTGGGGTGCAGAGCCTGGGATGCCCAGGTGGATCAAGCCAAGGAGCTCAAAGAGACTCATACAGTGACTTTAGAGGGGAGCACCAGGCTTTGGAGACAGACCTAAAGCTTCATAGCACCCCACAGGGGATGGCTTCAGTTCCCAACACTCACTCACTTGTATCCTTGAACAAGTTACCCCTAGTCTTTGACCTGCTTCCTTATCTACAAAGCAGAGTCAGCCATATCTCGCTCAAGGGATCGTTCTGTTAAAGTATGACACACACTCGCTATCACTTCCCTTCCCTTCAGAGGATTGCTTTAGGCCAGGCAAACCAGAGAAGGCTTCCTGGAAGAGGTGTCTTTTCACTTTGCACTGAAGGATGGTTGGAATGTATTTAGTTGTTCTTGTGTCTTCCGTAAGAAATCCACAGCAGACTCTGGATTCGTGGTGGGGCTGTCAGTTAACCATGAATAGATTGATGATGAGAGGACATTGCCTTTCTCAGCTTGTTAAGATGATTTGTTAAAAATGGTTTCAAATCCTGTTGCAGAGGGCCGCACTCAGGTTCTGTCTCCTGCTTTTCTTGCAGATGATGCAGTTCGCCTGGCAGAACTACAAGCGCTACGCCATGGGCAAAAACGAGCTCCGGCCGCTCACGAAAGACGGCTACGAGGGCAGCATGTTCGGTGAGCTGATGCGGGGGCTGCTGCCCTCCCTCCTGCTGCATCCCCTCTGGCTTTCCCCCTCCTGGACTGTGTTCTCTCTTGGCCTGGACGATTCAGGCTTCTGAGCCATCGAGGTTTTGGGGAGACCCAAGCACGTCTCTCTGGGTCCCTGTTGTTTATTTTTTTAAAACTCAACTTGGAAATGTGAGCGGGGACAGTGAGGGATGGAAACTTGTTTGCCTGGAAAGTTCAGAGCTCTGGAGGGCAGAGACCAGCGTGAGTCTGCTCCTCGGTGTGTGGCTGTGGAGTGATCGTGGGTGTTTTTGTGGAGAAACCAACACGTTTCCGATGGGGTCAGGCATGTGTGTGGCCTTTCAGGCGTTGGGGTCTGTGTCTCTTGTGCGGTCTCGGGAGCAGAAGCTCGTTTGATGGGGAGCAGCACGGCGCTGCCTGTGTGGACAGCTCTCGTGCCATCTGCGGCTCCCCTGCTGCTGCCCCTGCTCCTCCCGGTCACGGGCTTTCCTCACCCAGAGCCTCGGAAATCTCTCACAGAGACTGAGGTGCCTGCTTCTGGGCACAGCCTCAGATTTCTAGTCTAACACCGTCCCCGCTGCAAGCCCCTCCCTCTGCAGGCCTTTCATGAGAGAACATGCTGGAGGCAGCCTGGTCCCTTCCTCTCCTCGCAGCCAGGAGCTGGGGACTGAGGAGAGAGTCGGTACCTGTGCTCCCCGCCCTGGAGACACAGGCCCCTGAGGTCAGGAACCAAAGAGTCAGGATAGATGACAACTAGGAAGACCTTAAACACCGGTTTACACACACGCACCCGTGTGTGGCCTGTCACAAGTATACGTGTGCTGTGGGAGGTGACGTGAGACCTCCCTCCAGCCCATCAGCACCACACCTTCCAGCTGTCCGGACAGTTCACCCCCATGGGACGGTGGTGGTGGTGGTTGGAATTCGGGAAACTTCTTTTTCCTTCTTCCTGGTTGTCTCGGGAATGGCAGGCAGTGGGGAGAAAACCGCCAGGCGGTGTGAAGCTGGCGAACAGAAGAGCAGCTCCCGCAGCCACAGAGATGCAGCCGCTATTGCCATCTTTGTCCATTTCCTCCCAATCTTCTCTTCCGTTGGGCTTTTTATTCCTTCATATTTTATGTCCTTGCTCTTTCTTGGCTTAATGTTTCATCACAAGTATTTCCCCAACTCATTTAATTTTTTTCATAAAGAGTGTTTTTATGGCCGCGCCTGTCGCGTGGCTGTGCCATTACTCACGTGGCCGTCCCGCTCGGGTTTGGCAAAGGCCGTTTCCAATTCTTACTGTTAAAAATAATGCGGCAGTTTTCATCTTTGCGCATGAAATGTTATCTTAGGATAGATTCCTAGAGAGGATTCCTGAGTCAGAGGAGGAAGACAGATGTTTCTGTAACCTCAGATATGGAACGTGGATTCCAGTTTCGGAGCCCGACTGTCCTCTCTGTCTAGGACACAGACCTCCCCCAACACCCCACGTCGGCCCTGGGGGGCCGCGGCCGGTATGGCTCTCAGCAGAGTTGTTGGGGCTTTGTCGGCTAGAATGAGTCAGGGACCTAATAAAGGACTCCTCTTCTTCCCTTCTCTCTGCACAGTTTGCAAATATTCGGGGAGCTGATGGAGGGGGCTGGGGAGAAGGCTGACTTGTGACAGTGCACAGTGTGGCCCCTGCCATTGCTCAGACCGTCCAGCCATGGAGAAACACTGCTGGGAGGGGGTGGGCTAAACTCAGTCCCGTCTTGTAAAATTCCTCAGTGCCTGTGATTTCAATCTCAATCTTCAATCTCAATCTCTTCCATTTCAATCTTCCATCTCCGAGCCATTCACAGAGCTGGGCAGCCAGGCGTGGTTAAGTCAGAAGGCCTGGGCACAAGTCCTCACTCTGCCCAGAGCTGTTTGTGTGGCCAAGTCCAAGTCACTCGAGAGTGTGTTTGAAATGCAAAAAAGAAAGGCCAAGTGCGGATGAATTTCCACTGTGATATATGGGCTTGGCAGTTGCCCAGGTGAGCCCATGTGAGGTTCTGAGCTCCCTGAGTTCTCTGGCACCCAAGCCCACCCTTCACAAGGCCTGGGGCTCCCTGTTACTCAGTGTCTGTAGCAGCCCTGGTGGGAAGGCAGGGCCTTTCTTCTGCAACCAGCAAATGAACTGTGGCAACTGGTCCCAGGAAGGGAGTATGTAGAAGGACTCAGGCACCCAGCAGGGAGAACTGAGCTTGGCTGATTTTTTTTTTCATTCATCAAATGATTGTTTATGTCACGTCCGGTGCTGACTGCTAGAGAGAAGAGATAAGTGGCATAGCGAAAATTCCACCAACCCTGCCAAGACATACTCTGGCAGCCCTCCCTGGGCCCCTCTGGGTTCTGTCTTGGTGCTCTCAGAAGGAGAGGGACAGATGGGAAGTGGTCACGATGAGGACATAGGCCATCCTTCATGGCTTCACTGGCCTGTCTTCACTGCTCCCTGCTTGTGTGGCTCTGGGCGCATCACGTCTCTCTGAGCCTGAGTTTTCTGTAAAGTGAGCTAATGAGGATGTCAGCCCCCCAGACCAGGCCCGCCTGACACCTAGAACCTGCTTGATAGGTGGCAGCTGTGATTACTGTGGCTTCTGATAAAGAGGCCCAGGATGACACACAAAGGATGAGGGCTCAGCCACATCAGAAGCCTGGAGGAGGCTCTGGCCTGGGGTAGACCATGAGGGGCTTCAGAGCCAGACTGTCTCCAAAGGTAGCAGGAGACTACAGGGGATTGGGGGGGAAGGGGTAGCCTGGCTTAAGCTGTTTGTCACCCTGCCCTGTCTTCAGAACTCGCGTGGAGGCTGGGTGGCATCGTCCTGGACCCTAGCCACCATCACTGTGACCCCACAGTAGGCTGGACTGGGGAGTGCACAGGCGGTGGGCATGCCTGCCGTGTTGCTCTGGCTGAGTCATTGAACTGGGCCCTGAGCTGCTGCCCAGACTTTGGGGCACGTCAGCGTGGACACAGGCCTTTGTAGCCTTCTCCCCTCAGCAGCCAGGAGGGTGTCTGCAGGCATGGATAAGGAATTCATGGTGATTTGCGCTTTGCTGGTTTTACAGGAGCTGCACCGAGGACAAGGGACACCAAGTCTGGTCCCCCTGGGTGGCATGTCACCAAGCTGCACCCCCCTTCCAGTAGCCCACGCCCCCTCCTGAAACGGTGGCCCAGACCAGGACAGCCTCCTGCCTCTTTCCCCTTCCTCTGCGAGGTGGTCACATGGGGGAGTTAGTGTCCAGCTCGGGGGGAGAAAGAAGGTGAACACTGAGTGCAAGCGGGCCTGAGTGCAGCCCCTGTCGCTTAGCAGCTTGTCGTCAGGCTGCGGAGCAGGGCAGAGGCCACTGCCTCCTGGGCAGGTAGTGACAATCAGAGAGGACGCGCCAGGCACCGAGCAGCACTTGTGGTGTTGCTTCTGTCACTGTGAGGTGACAGCGCGAGTCTGCCTGTGCAGAACACGTTCAGGTGGGGAGGGCAGGGGGAGCTGCCGATCAGTAGTCACGATGTCATACAGCACACAGCTCAGCTCACGGCAGCTGGCTCCCTCGCCTGTGAGGGGTCGCTGCTGGGGGAGGGATAGTACATAAGCAGCTGGAGAGCATGGACTCTGGGGCCAGGCTGCTTGGATCTGCCACCTGCTCTGCCACTTACTCACAGTATGACCCTGAGCAAGTGTCTTGACCTTTCTGGCTCGGGGTCCCGTCTATACACTGGGGGCAACAAGAGAGAGAATAACCCACTTCACAGGGTTATTCTGGGAATTAAATGAGTTCATCCACAGCAAGTGCTTCGATTCATGCCTGGCTGTAGGACGCAGTCTTCCAGTTCTGTTGCTGCATAAGGAGGATGTAAGGCCCTTAGGATGGTACGTGCTTCTCCCATCTTGACGGGGGCATGCCCAAATCCCCGGACCCAGGTGCTCGTGCAAGGGCTCTCGGGCTTTCTTAACCCTGACCCCTCCTGCCCTGTGCCCCCAGGCCTCCAGGACCCACAGCAGAGATCGTGGGTGGACAGCCCACCAGCAGGCAGTGCGCCTTCATTTAAGCAGCTTACAATGGAATTGTTAACAGGGAAGAGGCAGGACTTTAGGGTTCAAGGCTGTGGAATGCTTTGGCCTCCTGCCAGCTTAAGGGTTTCCGGTAGAGAAGTAAGTGACACCTTGCACTTGTTTCCAGCTGTCGGCCTTGAAGCACTTATCAAGCATTAATCCTCCCAAGAAGTCAGCAAGATCGTGAGCACGTCATCCTGTCTTGGCAGTGAGGGACACTGGCCCCGGACAGTCTTGGGCTGTTGCTACCGAGAGGCCCTTTGTAGGCGGGTCTGACCCCTTCATCTCAGAGTTGAGGAAAACAGGCCTTGGGAGGGTGGGACTGACCCGAGGTGACACCAGATATCCCTTGTAGGATGAGGACTTGAACGCCGGTGCCCTGAGTCCCAGCTCAGTGCCCTCTGCACCCCTCGCCCTATGATGCCCTGAATCATCCAGGCCAGGTTGTCAAACACAGGCTGTGGTCATGGCCAGATCACAAGCAGGAAGCGGGGTTCTCAGAGCTTTGGCAGGAGCACGTCCTCAGGCCGAGACCCCACCTGCTTCCTGCACGTGCCCCACAAACCAAGCGGCAGCTACGTTCTCTGGTGCCCGCTTCACAGCTTTGAAAGGTGATAATGGCCAACCTTATCCCTCTTCCAGAGAGGAGGAGACAACCGTGGCGAGTACCAGGACTTCTGAGTCACGTGGTCATCAAGCAGGGACATGACAACAGTCTGCAGACTCCAAACCTGCCCTGTCCCCGGTGACCACACATGGTGGCCGCCCAGAAGGGAGGGGGCCAGAGGCATGGTCTCAGGGTGGGACGTTGCATTTCAGCCCTGCTGCCCTCCTGGAACGCAGGGGAAACGTATATGCCACAGTCAGGTCACACCAGCCAGCTCCGGCCATCATCATTTATTGGACATCAGCTACTCAGGACATCAGTACTCAGGC